ATGTACTCCATACTCGACGTCTATATAAGGATCGCGGCAGGTTGGCCTACCAAGATCGAGAAGAAAAAAAGCAAGTTCCGGTTTCCTATGCGGAAGAGAAGGAGCAATCATTCGTCTCTCCCTAGTCACAAGCAGCTTCATCAAGACCATATTCGTATACTTCTCAAGGAACAAGCCTACCCTATACCTGTGTCCCGATCTTGCTTCACCAGAGCACGCCGCTTCCATGAAGAGAGATGACGATTTACTGCCATTGTCAGTCAAATTTGGAGGCATCTTATCGTGAAAGAAAGCTAGAATACCACGAAAGTATCGTATAGCTTGACAAAAACTTGCGCTCAGGAGGGGTCCTGGAACAACAACGACGAGCAAATATATGATGGCACGACTATTCAACCACCTACGATATCGTCGAGGGGGCCAACTGCACGCAACTCAGACTCCAGAGATGGACAAGGCGCCAGAACTACGGCTTAGATAACAGTTGGAAGGCGATATGGCCTCCCGCCTTTCTCTCCATTTCATGGTTGGAGTGGTCTCATGCTAGGACCATGAAAGGAGACATGGATTGGCATCCCAAGGACTGCAAATATGCATTGAGAGAGGAATGACTTGGCAGCACTGAAGCGATATGGATTTCTACAGGACCGAATTCTTCCATTATTAGGCCCTCAGGATACGTCTTGTCGCGAGACTTGGTCTCCAGGCTCGTACGCTTCAACGGCAGACATGCGCGTCTCATGCCACCACCAGGATGCGAACAACTTTAAGAGAGCGGTTACAACTCATCTTCGTCGCCACACAGATTCGCATGCGCAATCCGTCTGCCGCAAGAGTACTACCAACCAGTGCGTACCAGTGAGCAACGATGAAACCACACCGCCGCTACACCACCCAGAGCTCAAATCCAGAGAACATCCAGTACTGCCGACGCATCTCCAACCCCGAGATAGAAACAAAAAAAAAATTGAAGCATTCTCAAGTTTACGTATACACCCTCAATGATCGCCACGGCTTCTTCAAACATCGAACCACTCTGGGCGATCTTGGGCCATCTCGACGAAATGGCTTTTGTTCGAAGTCCCCGACAACTTGCAGCAAATAGGACGGTCGCACATTAGCTAAGCTCCGCAAAACCCCGCCAAATTGATTTTCTGATTTTACGATTTTACTAAAAGGCAGTTACATTCTTAACCCACACCGCTTTATATGAAAAAAGGGATATAATAAATAAACTACTAAAGATACCTGATAAAAATGCATTACTTTTTACGCTATTAAAAGTGCAGCTTAAGGCGCTATACAGCTAAAAGCGCTGTGCAGCTAAAGGCGCTGTGCAGCTAAAGGCGCTGTGCAGCTAAAGGCGCTATAACCCGCCGCACCAATTGACCTTTGGCTGCACTTTAGTAGCACTTTTAATAGCATAAAAAGTGGCGCACTTTGATCGCGTACCTTTAGTGATTACATTTATAATAGCTCTTTTTTTATATAAAGCGTTGTGGGTTGAGAATGCAGCTGCCTTTTGGTCCTTTTTGTGAAAACGTCAACTGGTAAAATTGATTTGGCGGGGTTTTGCGGAGCTTAGCTAATGTGCGACCGCAAAATAGCGCACCGAGAAAAAACCAGGCAAGATGACCAATCACCAGCACGGAATGTTACAGATCGACACGCAAGCCAGCAAGCCACAACTTTAAGATAACCCAGAAATTTAATCTTGGAACACGTCAGTATTCGCATCTCGATTCTCAGTTCCTGGTGGCGCAGAGGACAGGGCATAGGAGAGGTGAGAGGGACAGAGATGAGCCCAGCTTGCAAGCACTACGCAGAGCAATTCACATGGAAATTGAAAAACGAGGCTTGAGCTCTGCTTAGCTTTGATAAGTGTCTCGCGGATATTTCGGGGGGGGGGGGGCTAAAGCCAACATGGTCTGGAGAAATTGTGTGGGGATCGAGTTCATTTTAGCATGTGATTGATGACGGTAACGGTATCAGCACCGGGACCATGTGGTCATTATCAGCTGTTTTATTTGCACAAGTGATAAAGTCGAATGATGGCGAGAACAAGTCAGCAACTATTCAGGATGAAACAAACCAACCCGCCGTACTGGGGTACATACATAGCCGCGGCATTTAGGGGAAAGGGGGGAGCGGGGGACATGTATGTACGTATGTATGCACAATGCAAACGCTGTAGATTTGTCGCAGCTAGATTATCGACTGATTATAGACGACGTATGTCAGCGAATCACAATGCACCATCGCTTGTTAAAAGGGTGGGAGATGGAAATCCTACAACCAAGAAACCAAGAACCAAGGCATGCGGGTATAATAAAAGCGGCAAAAACTTTACCTAGATGCGGCTTGCCTACACGGCCCGAATCCAGCCTTCCTTTTGAACCTTGTGCGCTTGTCAATCCGGCATTAGTGTTGTAGGTCGCTGTCCGGCCCCAGACTTGCAAATTTCATCATACAGCTCTTGATGCCGAGGGACAAGAACGACGCCCGGGCCGGTAACGACTTGCCGGCTTAGTTCCCTCGGACCCCGGGCACAACCGGGAATGCGGCAGATAAACAATACTAATCTGGGAATAGGAACAGGGCGAATCTGTCAATGTGTTTTAGTGTGTCGGCAACACGGGGGAACCTCACTTGAGCAGCCTCTCGCAAGTCTCCTACGACACACCGCACACCATGGGAACTTTCCATTGGCTCGATTAATTGTCACACCATCCGGCGGGAACATTACTCCGGTTGGAAAATATAAACCATCTAATAGTGAGGTGACATCTGCACAATGCGGGCTTCGTTTCCATTTGTTTGGTTTGCCTCTTCGTTCTTGTGCGATTTGTCCTTTGGCGAACCAGTGTTGCTGCGACACATTCGCCCCAAACATTGGGGTAAAGTGGCATCGGCAACCGGCGAAGACCAGAAAGAAGTAGGGCTCATGCAATGAATGGCATGATGGTTCGTCCAAAGGCCTGATGTATCGGGCTGCGAATCAGCCGACTAGGGCATAAAAGCGCAAAACAGACAGGCATCGTATCGTCCCGATCGACTGATTCTACCGTCCACTGCCAACTGCTGCCTCCCTGCCGGATGCGAGAGGTGCGTTTCCGGCTGCAGGGCATCACCCAACGCCCTGTGCTTTCATGTCGTTGCAGCCAACCGAAGTTGATGAGTTGCCTTGTGCCCGTCTTGGGTTGCAAAAACTGCGCCAGACTATGTTATCCCGTGGCTCAATCAGCACAACTTGCGGCTACATGTGGAGATGGTTGCTTTATGCCGCGAGCTCAAGGCTAATTCTTTTAGGTGCAAGTGCTGCGGAAGTATGTAGGTAATTATGCCTGCCTGAGTATTGGTGCCGCAGATATGGAGTATACGCACCCCAAGTAAGATCGCATGCGAGCCTCGTCAGACCCCAGAACCAGGGATGTTTCAGGCGTTTCAAGCACTCCAGGGCATTGTTGGTTTGGGCGTGTGCTTCTTTCTGTTTGAGTCGTCCTGTCATAAAGCGGAAACTATTTATGGACTCTCCAATGGAAGTGTGGCCTTGAGTTGTCTTCGCTCCCACCCTAGAGAAGACATTTTGTCATCATAAAACATCAACTATTAGATCTGCTGTGGCTATAACCTTTGTGGTTAAGAGTCCCCATCGTCGGCCAAGCGGAGGCCCGAGATATCGTAATCGCCCGTCATTGGCGGCAAGAGACCACTGATCATCGCATCCATTTATGCGAACTCGCAGCCTTGAGAACCTCAACAGAGGAAACCCGCCTGGACTGACCACATGTTAGTGAAGATCCCGTACATAACTGGCTTCGTTGCATGAAAATAAAGCTCGAGGCTGTCCAAGCCCTGGACGGTGGTGACTCAGACGTGCAAATATTGAGAACATGAGCAATACCCAACCCACATCTATGCCAACCCCAGTGGCTGCGCTTTAAAGGAATGGCTTGTGTTGGCAGTGAGGCCGCATGTACGTACTCCGTACGCAGTGTTATTATTGTAGGCACCAACAACCAAGCCTCCACTGTGAACAGGCGCAACCATGCCGTAGCGCCTGGTATGTGTGTATGTATACATGACGAAGCATGAGTACTGTCCCCGAGAAGGCATAGGCATGCACAATGCATCTCGGCCCCAGGAAATCGAACTCAACGGAGTAACAGAAGCCGACTGCTAGGCGCAAGATAGTCAGGGGAACCCTAGCACCGCTACTCGGTCTCTTTTTGGTTATCGATTCAAGATATTCCCCTTGTTCAAAAAATTTATTGATTAGTTCGCCCTCCCCGGTTCACATGGAAGGGTGGTGCTGTCGCTGCTGGGTGGCTGGTCTGATGAATGAGCTGGTGTGCCATTAAGAAAACGTGGAGCAGATCAAGGATGACGCGCGAAAAATTCTATCATGGTCCAATGTACCTCCTCCCCACAGGTACAACGACAAGAATGTGGGGCGCACGAGCCAGGTTCTTCGTCTCTCAGTGCTTCAACCGTATTGTATGTTATGTGCTCCGTACAATATTGTGTGTATCGGCCCTTGTCTGCCTGTCCCTCCGGCGCCCAGCGCGGGTTTCTCTGTGGGGCGCCGCAAGCCAATGTGTCGATGATGCTGTCAAGAGATTTTCTTGGGCCTTCCAGAAGCATTCGCATGGCCCGGGTGGTGACGAGAAATGGCAGACGCGACGAAGCCCTTTCTGCTGGCACCGGAATTGACCGATCGCGGGCCAAGCCAGCCAGACATGGTCAAACCGACAATTCGCCGACGAGTTGATACGAGACTAGCAAGTTGAGAGGGTTCCTGAATCATGACAGTTGGCCAATTCTGCCCCTTGCCCTGTGCGTGCCTGCAGGCGGCAATTGCTTGGCTGAGATCGACTCCCTCACCGTCAAATACTCCCATTCGATTCACTTACGGTGGAGGCTCCATGAGTTGAGGCTCCGTACGACGGTCCCATTTTATGCTATTTTTGCCCCGGCATTATTCGGTGCTTCACCGGTCTCTAATAAGTGGCCTCTGAGGATGGCGTGTGGCTGCCTTCACAGGCATCCTCCTCCTCATCCCTACCATCGTCGCCTAGGCCAAGTTCCTGTCCTAATAGGACGTCTTCACTCCCTTGCCACTGCGGTGGAGGGGCTGGCAGGGCTGCCTCGTCATCGTCTGCCCAGCCATAGTCTTCGTCATCTTGGCTGTCTGGGACTTCCAAGTCGGTCTGTTCCAGCTTTCGCTTTCGCCCAACCACGTCAGCAGGCTCTACGGGGGCGTTGGAGGCATCGCATTCCACTCTTTCAACACCAGCCTGCGCCATTAACCGTTAGCAAGAAGCATATCCTACTCCGTTTCGAGTTTGCTGGTATGCAAAAGCTGACTGGCCATAAGACTCACCCTTGTGATATTCAAGGCCGCAACTCGCTCAATCGCGTCGTGCCCGGATTTGCCGTCTAGTTTCTGCAGCCCTGCCACGAAAATGCTAACAAGTGTACCATTCTTCCATGCCCAATCTCGAAACATGACTACTCGGGTCGATATCCCTTGCTCCCATACTGAGGCATTGACTGCTGGCACAAGGGTGGCCCCGTGTTCTGATTGCATTCTGGTTGCGCATTGCGAGGAGACGACAACGGCGCAATTCTTAGTTGCTGCTACTTTCTGAAGCGCGTTGATGATGAATTGCAAACCTTGGAGCCGCTTGGTTGAAGGTGTTGGGCCTACGGGTGGTCTCACGGTTAGTAACTGCGCTAGAACTGGTACAGGAGTTGTTTGCACCCACCCTTGTTGCCTTTGGGACCTGCTTTCCCATCTATACTCTTTGGTAAAGACGAATTTATTAAGGCGGAGAGGTTGTTTATGACCATCAGGGCGGTCCCTTCTGGTACAGACTTTGCATTCGGCCGTGACACCAAAGCCATGAAATGTGGAAGGGTCAAGCATGAAAATTGTGCAAACTTACCCTGGCTCGCAGCGGGTCGTTCAGCCTCCATCGAGCCATCAGGCACGGCATCTTCTGTAATAGATGCTAGCACTTTTTTTAGTCGAGAGACGTGTACCTCTTGGAAGCAATCTGAAAGCCGTCAGAGGAGTCGATGTGTAAGAAAGAGTATGAGGGGGGTACGGTGCTTACCAATCCAAACAACATCATTTCCATTACGGATGGAATTCGCAGCCAACTGTATCCTGCACGTTAAATTAGAAAAACAAAACACCTCATCATCATTGAACAGCCAGGTTGGTTCGGGCGAGCCTTACGAGACTGCAGTTTTGCCTGTCCCAGGAGGACCCCAAATCTCTGTTATTTGACCCTTCTTGATTCCGCCAATGGAGGTGGAGCTTGGGGATCCGGTTGGTGGTGGCGGCAAGAGGACTTGGTCTAGCTCTTCCAAGCCCGTGGATAAATAAAGGTTGCTATCATCCTGGAGCTCGTTCAAGGCCTGTGAAGCCTGAACTGTGGGCAGCCGATCTGTAGACAACGTTAACGATTGACAAATCAAGACGAATTCTGAAAAACTTACGAGTTCCAACTATATCAAAACTAGATACGTCATGTCCATGGATGGAATGATAGTCCATTTCCCGAATCCATGAATTGATGCTTCATGAGATTTTCGTGGCCACAATGCTCGAGCAGTCACGTAAGACGCGAAAGCCTGGTCGGGTTGAGCGCGACATCACGTGATCTAAACATGGTCGTTAAAGCTCCCCGTCTTGGATCTGAAGTGGAGGAGGTCGCACTCATGAGTCAAGCTAATTTGGCCATTTCCGTCTCTTGATAACTACATAACATCTATATGTAGGTCCACTAAGTGGTACTACAAAAGACAAATTGCTATCGTAGCATCTGGGCTATCCATTTCGGATACCGCCACTTTACTAGTTACCTAGGCGTTAGCAAGGCGTGGAATCAAAAATACTTAATCTGAGATATCATCACAAACGGAAAGATGGGATTCTCCCCATCTCCCCGCACGCCCCCCCAGAGTCTGGGCCATCCTTGTACGACGTTGAGATCATTGCTTGGCACGTCTTGACAACAATCATGTCGAAACTTGTTCCAAAAAAAAAGTGCTCGAGTCACTAGCCTCGGCGCTTTTGGGCCAAACCATGTTTTGGGATGGCTTCGGTGCCAGTCAGAACTAGTCCCATGGCCGGAACGGTTGTTGGCCCTTTGGTGACTGGTGGGCTTCAATTCGGAATTGCAGTGTCTATTCCGCCCTCAAACTCAGACGCCAGGCAACACCTATTAGCACCTATCAGTGTCGTCCAACGTCATTTTTTAATGGTCGGTAGGTTTCCAGCAAACAGCCTATATTGAGTTGAGTCTCGATAAACGACATGGAGCTAGATCCGGGGCAGGCGAGCAAAGTATAGCCGAGCGTCCGGGGTAATAATCAGCTACCGGAACCTAGAGGGACTGTGCCCACAACTTGAGAGATAAGACATCGGGTTACGGAGAACATGGAGCAAATGATGCCTCGGTATGGGAGACCTAGAGCGTCTATTCCTGCAGCTCGGGCGTTGGAAGCCAGTCGGGTTTTGAGCGAAAACTCTACAATGACTCGGTGCTATTGTCTCGTTAGGACTTGCAACGTCGCGGACCGGAATTTCGAATAATGCTCGTACCTGAGCGCATCAGGTCGAGAGTCGTGGGATCCCTCCACAATTCTCAAACCCAGCAAAGGGCACTTTGTAACAAGTTGCACTGCCACTGCAATCAAAGCGACGGCACTGTTGATGCCTTTGATTCTATTTACACAAAACAGAGTTTCTCGTCATGTCGATAAATTAAAGGTCCAAGCTCCAAGATTGGCCATGGGCCTATGGCAAATGCCCTCCGGCTATTGACCTTCATCCGGCGATCTGAGCGGACCCGTTGAATCTGCGGACTGGGCAAAATATTCGTTGAAAGCTGGTTTTTGTTTGTTTGTTTATGCTCCAGATGTTTCCGTAGAGATGATTCAAAAACGCAACAGCCATCCATCCATCAAATTCGGGGAGAATGGTGGTAAGGCAGCGATCTATCTATGGTATGACCGCGCAGTCAATGTGCATACACTACCAGTTGACGCTTGTGTTGCGAAGGAAGATGCCGCATTTGGCACAATGGATTGATGAATGAGTACACCTGAACCCCCAACGAAACATGGTATTTTCAGTAGCAGGCAAGCAGGGCTCGTCGAGGCTCTCTCCCTCTCCTTCTCTCTCCTCCTTCTTTCTCCCCTCCTTCTTTCAAGCCCAGTTTTATTAGATGGTACCTGCAGGGACAGGTGCATCTATCCGCAAGGGTGTGCGGCCCCAGGGCCTGGAGACGCCGCGAAAAAGATGCAAGCCAGGCTCACCAAAAAAAGGGAAGTACGTACAGAGTGATAGATAGACCCTCATCTGTCCGGGTTCTCATCTATCGTCGAGGCCGCAAATCACTAGTGGCCGTCAAGGTTGCCACTAGATACGGAAAGTCGGGCAAAATAATTTAGCCATGGGGAGGGAGGGAGATCTGCTATCAATCGCGTGGCTTGAACTGAGAACGGGGCACCGCATCATCAGCGACCTGGGGGAAGGGGCGGGTGGTACCGGCATGATCTTTCTGGTGCCAAAATGAGACATGGACAGCCTGTTCATGAACCCGTGATTACGGTCGCACATTAGCTAAGCTCCGCAAAATCCTGCCAAATCAATTTTTACTACTTAAAATTTACTTAAAAAAATATAAGATAATTTTAAATAATTCTCTTAAAATCATATAATATATAATTTTTATTTTAAAATTTTATAATTATTTTATTTTAATTTTTTAAAATATTTTTACTATTAAAAATTATATATTAGGGTTAGGGTTACTTTAGGGTTATTTTTAAAAAAAAACTTAAAAAACTTAAAAAATAATAAAAAATAAAATAAATTATTAGACTTATAAATATATTTAAAAATATTAAAACTTAATTTTTTATGATTTTTATAAGATTTATTTTAATAAAAAGAGTAATAACCCTAAAGTGTAAAAATGAATTTGGCGGGATTTTGCGGAGTTAATCTAATGTGCGACCGTACGTGATGGTTGAATGGGAGTCTAAACTTGAATGACACTGAAATCCTCAGTGGACTGGTCCAAGAAAAGGACGAGGTTGAGCGGAGACGGCGATGCCGAGGCGTGATCTCGGTTATTGATTGGGCGGCAACATGACGCAACGGGATGCAACAGGACGCAAGATTGAGCAGGAAAGACCAATCTGGAGGAAGTCACGACCGGCCGGACTCGGGTCGGACATCGACCGCCGAGCGGAGCCCCGCGCTGTCACCATTGGGCCCTACCATGAGGTGAGCTTCGAGGTGAGAGAGAGCACAAGGGCACGTGGGGTGTTTGCAAGGTGACCTGGGCTCTGCGAAAAGTGACCGTCACAATCTGCCTGGTCAGCGAGTCCTGGAGTACTAGTAATTGCGTTATTATCATCACTAACTAGTCAGTCCCTTTACACGTGAGAGAGGCTAAAAATGAAGCTATTGTGGAGAAAGATATCGTGGCCCCTCGTGCCCAAAAGAAGGTTACAATAATAGTCCCGAACAAATATCCCGTGCATCTCTAACGTAAATGGGCAGTGAATGCGAGGGCTTCCTTTGGTCGCTACGAGGGAGCGGCTTTCAATATCTTTTTGGTGCTAGTAGGTAGGCACGCCATACTGAGCCACAATTCGTCAAGCAACACTATTGTGCCTTGGCCCATGGTGCACGCCATAAAGCCACCGACCGTTGTCGTAACTATACGTAAGTTGTAACATGTTCAGTCTGGGCTAGCGATATCGCCATTCCAAGGTGTCTGGGGGAAGCATTGTCCGCATTTGGAAGCCGGCCTGTGAGGCTTGCAGCCAAACCAGTTACATGCCGTCTCAGAGTTGGTGGAAGTAATAAGTCTCTGGTCGAACTGTGATATGATCAAGTTCTACTAAAAAACTATACAAAGACGGGTTCAACAAGAACTGTGATTCGGCAAACTGTACTCCGTAGTGACAGTGACAGGCCCTGAGGCGACTTGGGGGAGGAAGTTAGACTGGTCCCGGGGACACAGAAGACGAAACTTGTTGATGCGCATTGCGCGATGATTGCGCGATTGAGTGTGTCCATGGGATCCATGGGGGCCCATGGGGGTTTGCCATTGACTATCACGTTGCCAGCCTCGTCAACTGATACGCAAAGAGCGGTCGCCAGCCAATTGACCGGTCCACTCCCTACCCGGCCGTGTCAAGGAGATCTCAAGATCAAAGCCCCCCGGGATTGCCAAATGGAGCTAGGGTGGAAAACGATTCAATATCACAGCAGACAACCCCATGCCCTGCGGACTAGTGTCTCGAAAAAGGGCATTTTTTGATGACACATGTAATGATGTGCTCGTCGCATGCTATTGTGCGGCCCCCAAAAGAGGTTATTCAGCTTGTCCAAAAAGCCGCCCAACAAAAGCTTCTAATGAACTTGAGAGGTGTGGTGTGCTCACGGGCGTAGGTTTGCTATTTGATGGATGAGACGACCAATCCAAATGCTGTTTGTTGGTTGACCTTAACCAGGGTCTGCTCCCCAAGCAGCGCAGATTACGACAACTATATCCGAATGTGCGGTAAACCTGGGGGAATGGAACGCCCTGGGGTGACGATGAGACAAAGTGCGTGCCCAAGCCCTCACGTACGGGGCAGCGAGATATCAAGAGTCGGGGCTTCAACTTGACACTAGATGATGTGCTGGCGTGGTAGCCTTTTGGCCCTTGTCCAAGGCCCTCGGCCTCAAGGGTGAGGCTGATAAGCGCCATGACTCCGCGTGCAAGGCGAACTATCAAGATATGGCTCTTGGTAGCCTGACACCTCAAGAGCCCATGGGGCATGATTTGGCCACAATGTGAACCAGAGCGCGTGGCTGCCGCCGACTCAGACATTGTCTGTCAAGTCATTCGGGAAGTACTAGGAACAGAAGAAAAGGGGGAAAAGAAGAAAAAAAGAAAGGAATAAAACCAGGGAATAGCCGATAGACTGGGGGAGCAAACAACCGGGGAAGCATCCCATGGGGGCGACAATCCGAGACCTGATGAACGCCAGCCCTGTTGTGCCTGTTTACAGTTGGGAGCGTGCACCTGGTCCCTGCTCACATTGCATGGTGCACTGGTTTCTTTGTCCTTTGTCTTTTTTTTTTTTTTTTTTTTTTTTTTTTTTTTTTTTTTTTTTTTTTTTTTTTTTTTTTTTTTTTTTTTTTTTTTTTTTTTTTTTTTTTTTTAAAAAAAAAAACCCACAGACGATAAGCTCACTTCTGGGTCAGCGGAGTAGCCTTCCGGGAGATATCTGTCGAAGATGGCGCCGTGCCGTAAACTGTTCGGGGTCGCGTCATGGTCGTCCATAGCCAAAGCGTACAGGAGGAGATCGAACGAGGAAGATGCTGGTCGAGGAGGTAGCGAGTGAGATTGCTGAAGTTGTTCGGCAATTCCCCTTTAGCTACAAGGCTCCAAACCATGGGTGTGCATTTTCTATCAAAGCGGCCTTTGCTTCAAAGATTAGTTATTATTTTTTTTTTTAAAAAAAAAACCCCACGAGGCTTTTCAGGAATCTTGCAGCCCGTGCTCATGCTAACACCCGGGTATTGGGTACGGGATAGCCAACGCTTTGTTCCGCGGCCTTGGCAAGTCTTGGATTGCGCAACCAGAGTAGAATTGAACTCATTGAGGATCGATCCCTTCTCACGACGAGCTGGCAAGCCTTAGCGAAAAGCCCAACACACTCCCTTCGGTGCGACAAGAGATGCTGGACGGCAACACATGCGAGGCCCAACTGTCGGGTAAAGCCACTCGTAAAGCCAACAAATTGCACGGATTGGCTAGAAATGGTATGCCACTCTGGGCTGATTTGAATTCAGATACGTCTCCGTTTAGCCCGCCAATCATGTTCCATTTCGACGCGAGCGCAATATCAAGTTCGAACCATAGAGTCAATCCATCAGCAACAAACCCCGTGGTGGATCGTAGACGGCATGTGCAGTAAGTGTATAGACTCCGTAGGCGGACTGGGGTAATATGGCGCAAGGGAATCGAAGCCAAAGTGGCGCTTTGAAGTCACACCTTGGGGGAGAGTGTCTGGGGAAGCATTCCTACGTACGATGATTCTCCATGGCCGCCGGCTCAACCCACAAGAGTCGTCGCGTGGATGGAGACGTCGCATAATCAGGCCGGGGTTCATGAAGCAGGATGTTGTTACCGAAGATTGCGCGACTGGCTGTGCTCCGTACTGTTCTGGAATATGGTTCCGGCCATTTCTGGCCCCCAGACTCGCATTACGGAGTACATTTTGGTCTATTCATACCTGGTAACACATTCATGCAGAGAGAGAGAGAGAGAGAGAGAGAGAGGGAGGGAGAGAGAGAGTGGCCTTTATCGAACCACTTATCAGCACCACCAAGTCTGGGGCATGCATGAGGTCGGTGGCATGCTTACATACCTACAGCGCTCCATTCCAAAGGGATCACTTGTTCGTTTAGTTGGTCATTGCGACGTGCGACATGACATGACATGATATGAGCATGACCATTGTGTGCAAACAGGAGTAGTAGCAAGTTTGGAAGAGAGGTGCTCCGCCGCACGTAGTCATGACCCGTCGTCCAGGGCGAGGGCGGACTTGGTTGAATCACATCGCGCCAGGTTGACTAGCCTAATCTCCCGGAGCGTTGGGAACTTGGGTGGTATCACAGTATTATCGTCCATCCAAGACTCGAGCCTTAAGGGCGCTTTGGGCGGCACGGCTGCCGACGGCGAGTCTTGCCCACCGACGGACACCGGGATCGATGCTCACGGAGAACGGACTGGGACAGGGGCGACGCCGACGTACGAAATACGGAGTAGGAGATGACGAGAGCACTCTCACAACGTCACACAAGGCCAGTTGGTTCCTCTCTCCCCACGTTATGTCGTCCGTCGTTGCGCTTTGTTGGTGACGGGGATGCTAACGACAAGTCAGTTACAAAGTTGCCCTGGCTCGTCAATGCCATCATTACCACACACTGCCAAAGAACGACGTACTCGTGAGATGAGAACCAATCAGTCGGGCAAAGTTCGACACGACGGATGCTGCGCCCCGCCATGGCTCATCGTTGGCGTACCTGTGGAGAGGCAGAAAAGGTGATAAAAAAAAGAACTCACCTGAATGCCCACTCAGTCACCACCAGTGGCCGTTCCACATGTGCACACCAACGGCCCTTCACAAACTCGCTCGCCTTCGACCCTCTTTGCATTTAGCCCCCCCCAGGCCTTTGATGCTTTCACCTTGGGGCATTATTACTCCTTGCGCAAACTTCAGATACCGGAAGAAAAAGGGGGGGGGG